AAGTATCTAAAAATCTGTCCATTTCTTCTGTGTTTTCCATTTTATTGGAGTACAGGTTCTCAACGTAGGTATTGATTATCCTCTGGATTTCTTTTGGATCTGTTGTGACTTCACCTTTTTCATACCTGATTGCATGGATCTGAGCCTTTTCTTTCCTTTTTTTGATAAGATTAGCTAAGGGTTTGTCGATTTTATTTATTCTTTCAAAAAACCAGCTCTTTGTTTCATTTATTTTTTGTATCATTTTCTTAGTTTCAATTGCATTGATTTCTGCTCGGATCTTTATAATTTCCTCTCTTGTTCGAGCTTTGGGTTTTTCTTGCTCTTGTTTTTCTAGGAGTCTAAGTTTCATCATTAAGTTGTTTATTTGAGCCCGCTCTGTTTTCCTAGTGTGGGCAAGGGGAAGAGATTTTTATAGATCTTATTCTCTGATCAATCCATTAACATTAGAAATAAATAGCAAAAGGTAGTAAAAAAGAAAATTTACTGTTTAGTTTTATAAAATGCTGTTTGTAACATTATATCAAAGGAAGAAATCAAAAGTAAAATGATAAGCATCAAGAAATCAATAAAAGAAGCTTAACATCCCAGAAGCTATAGGACAGAGGGAAAACTGTAGCCAGTGGAAAATTTAGTCTTTTGGTGATTTTATTACTTACAAATACTGTACTTGTGTTATGAAATAAAAAAATGAATGACAGAACAAGTTAAAATAAATTGGACTAATAAAAAATGAAATCAATGAAATAAACATTAATTACTGGCTATTGTGTGGATTTGTTTGATTAGAAAATTAATGTAGTAAAAAATTTAGAAGATGACAAATGAGAAAATCAGAGGCAAAGGAATAATTCAGAAAAGATTAAACGGAATAAATTGGTTCAGTGTGCAGCAAAGAAGAAATGAATTCTTTGCCAAATATAAATCTCTATATTTGACTCAAGAAATGGAAAATTTGAATAGAACAATAATCATGAAATAGATGGAAAAGTAATAAAGTCCACTCTTGAAAATGGCAATGGGTTCATATGGAATTACAGTTGGGTCTTATGTAACCTTTAAAGAACAAATCATTTTACCATTAGTTAAGCGATTTCAGAAGAAGAAGAAAAATATTGACTTAATTTATAAAATAAGCACACATTTAATACCAAAACCCAATAGAGTGCCATAAAAGTCTAGAAACCAATTTAATTTTAAATATAGATACAAAATTTTAAATCGATATTAGCAGATAGAATCCATCAGTGTATTTCAGGACCCAACTATGGCCAGGTGGGGTTTATTCCAAGAATACAAGAATGTTAAGTTCTTTGAAGGACTATAGAGTCACAGTGGAACAGGTGAATTTTGTTTCCTAGCAGCTGGTAGCCTGGCTTCTGAAGAGTCATTGTCTCCATGCTGTTTTCTGCCACTCTAGGCAGAGACACTTATGCTGGCTGCTTGGCCAGGGATACTGCAGAGCTCAAGGCTGTAAGCAGGGGCCACCCAGAGGTGCCCATCAGCTTCTGGTTGATGGAGTGGGTTTGTTAGAGTTGGTTTTGGAACTACAGTTGGTGTCTTTTTGATCAAATATTTGAACACTTGTCTTCTCTTTGCATGTTACTAAGGAGCCCCTATATGAATTTTTATAAATATAAACATGATCACATCATACTGTATCTTAATGAATTCAAAGGTCTGATGGAATAGTTTTTTCTGTTTTTGGTACAGGGGATAGAACTCGGGTCCTTGCACTTAGGAGGTGGGCAGCAGAACTACTGAGCTAAATCCCTGGCCTGGATGGAATATTTCTGTGAAAAAGAAAACTATTTCAACTACCAGCTCAATATTGTGGAACAAATAATCCATTTCTCAGAATTAGCAGCTAGAAATGGTGGCTGGACCAACATAGAACCTTTCTCCCCTTCCTGCTCTAATGGCTGGAAGCTTGGCACAGAAAGTCTGAATGTGGCCAGCTGACTGTCAGATGCTGACTGTGTAATGTGTTGTCACACATAAACCTTTTGATGGTTTTGTATTTGTCTACTCTAGATTTCTGTTCCTTTAGATACAGTTTTGCTTAGTTATCCTCACTGGCTGTTTCACCCTCTTTTTCTTTGATATTGTTATGGACATATATGCTTGCATACTTTTCCTTTTCTTACAACTCTGCATTCCTCATTTCTTTCCATGGCAGTGGGGTGCTTGCTGCTGTTAACCCACTACTGTGGCTTCAAGATGCCTGAATTTGGAAAGGTATAAAGCTGAATGGGAAGAATCTGCAAAGAGAACGTAATGTTGTATGTTTCATTTGGATGAGCTTCTGGTCTGTGTGTGGCTATCAGTGGGGCTGGATATATGAGCACTGTGACCAGCAAGGCATGAATGGGAGCTGTCCAAGAAGCAGATCACCAGTGTACTGCCAAGGGCTGGGGACCAGGAGTGGTGACTGGGATAAATCACCTTGTTTCTTGGCTGTTGTTTTGGAGATGCTCATTCTATAGAAGGAAAAAAAATCAATCCTACCCTGACATCTTTGTGAAAGTGTATGCAAGACACAGTCACATTTTGCAGTGACATGGGCATGTGTGTGCTCAACACAGTCAGTATCAGAAATGAGGAAAATGTTTAGGGCACATGGAAGGAGAGGGAACAGAAGAGTTGATGTTTGTGTTTGTATATCCTTTTTTATGTGTAAGCCTAGATACAATAGCTATTAGCTCATAGTGACAATTCTGAAACAAGAATTTATGTACAGTAAACTGTATTTAAAAAAATTCTACCTATTTGCTTTGGCTTAACACCAGAATCTATTGATTGACTTTCTTTTGCCACAAGTATGCATATTGCCACTGATACCCATTATACATTCTTGTAGAATAGGAAGTCAATTTAAAAATTAACCGGAGTCATAGGGAAGATAATGTGTTTACACAAGTCAGCTATTCATAAGTTTAAAAATTGTCTAAGCTTAGCTATCAACCACCACTTCTCTGTTAATGCAGTGTGACCCATACCAAATTCTAAATTCTAGCATAGTTGCACTCTGCTTCCCAGAAATGTTATGACAGCCTTCTGCTATTATTGCTTGGGGTGTGCTTAGAAATTCAAATACATTTTGATATTTTCCAGGCAAAGCATAATTTAAGACAGATTTACTACCCAAAACACCACATATATTAAAGCTAAATGAAACTGGTTTGGAAAAGTCCCATATTGCTGCTCCCTTCCATAATAACTGAAAATTGACTGTTGATTGTGCACATGAGCAGTCAACCTCCAGCCATTTGGCCAAAGTCAGTGATAGTAATAGTGCTGTTATTAGTCATGGGACTGTGGTTTGCATTGTGCTTTCTTTACCATGGAAAGATAGATTACGTGAAATAAAATAGGTGCGTAGGTGAATGTTGAGTATTTCTTGATAGCCATGCAGGAATCCTTCCTGGGTGGATATTTAAGTGAGCATGTGTTACCTGTGTTTTCTTCTCTTTCTCAGGAATTAGATTTGACTTGTTTATCCTGCATTCTACCTTGTGTGAATGTGTATGCACAATTATGGTTTTCAAAACTGGTATTGAAACAGAAACTTTGAAATTGAATAGTCAGACAATAAAGGCATCTATGACAGATTTCTTTACACTGAGAAGGTAAGAGCCGTCTGCTCCACTTAAAAATGCTGTCATCTCTCAGTGCACTTTCTGAAAACACATTATTAACCTTTATCCTCAAGACCATATTCTTTTTTGTTTTCTGTTACCGAAACCACTTCTAAGCTCTATTTTTTAAATTTAAGCAACTGTTTTTTACTCCACCAGTTCTGTGAGTTAGTCACTATCTGATGTGTATCCCGTTCTGTTTTCCAAGAAGGTAAAATTTCAGAGAGAAAATCTCTTCTACCTGAAAGACACTGTGGAGCACATGCTCTGTAGTATACTTCACACCATTAGGATTTTTAGCCCCTTCTGATCATACCTGTGGACCAGAACAGCTAAGCATGGAGACAGTACTTTCCTGTCCTGGGGACAGAAAGGTGTGAAAAGGTGAAGGGATTTAACCTGTTGAGTCTGTTGCTTCCAATGCTTGCAGTTCAGAAAACCCCATAAAGCACCTTCAGAAACATCTTTTCAGTGAGCTGCTTACTATAGTAGAATTTTTCTCTTTTTCTTTGCAGACCCTTCACATGGCTGTTTAAAGATGCATTTGAGACAGTTATAAGGAAAAACTGAAAATGCCTGGACAATTCCTGGTTTTTCCCACCACTCTTCCGGCCTTTCCCCCTCCCTGCCAGATCCAGATGATATGATACTTGGCAGGACACCTTAATCACAGTGGTTCCTTGGCTGGACACATCTGCACAAGACTGTTTCTGTTACTCAAGATGGCCAGTCAGCTGCCTGAAGACCCCACGGAGGCTCAGGTCTCTGATGAGCTGGAGTGCAAGATCTGTTACAATCGGTACAACCTGAAGCAGAGGAAACCCAAAGTGCTAGAGTGTTGTCATAGGGTCTGTGCCAAATGCCTGTACAAGATCATCGACTTTGGGGACTCCCCACAGGGTGTCATTGTCTGCCCTTTCTGTCGGTTTGAGACCTGCCTGCCAGACGATGAAGTTAGTAGCCTGCCCGATGACAACAACATCCTGGTAAACTTGACTTGTGGAGGCAAAGGGAAGAAGTGCCTGCCGGAGAATCCCACCGAGCTGCTGCTGACACCCAAGAGGCTGGCCTCCCTCGTCAGCCCTTCCCACACATCCTCCAACTGCCTGGTCATAACCATCATGGAGGTGCAGCGAGAGAGCTCCACGTCTCTGAGCTCGACTCCTGTGGTCGAGTTTTACAGGCCTGCAAGTTTCGACTCCGTCACCACCGTGCCCCACAGCTGGACTGTGTGGAACTGCACTTCCCTGCTGTTTCAGACCTCCATCCGGGTGTTAGTGTGGCTGCTGGGGTTGTTGTATTTCAGCTCCTTACCCTTGGGAATCTACTTACTAGTGTCTAAGAAGGTCACCCTCGGGGTTGTCTTTGTCAGCCTTGTCCCTTCGAGCCTTGTCATCCTCATGGTGTATGGCTTTTGCCAATGCGTTTGTCACGAATTTCTGGACTGTATGGCACTTCCTTCTTAATTGTTGTGCAAAATATGGAATTTGACACATATTGCCATGTTTGAAGTTCGATAACTGATAATTTATATAATTTACTTTCTTTTGTCTTCTTTATGATTAGCATCCATGGCATCAACAAAGGCCTTGGCCATATGTTTTTGGTCTGTTTTCTAGTCAGGTGTTGAATTGCTGGGTGAAAGTGTTTTGTGCTTAGGAGTTAGTAAAGAAGCAAAGCTGTGTGAGCTCAGTTCTTACCGGGCTGTGACAGCGTGAAATTTCTTTGAGCAGGGGCAGCATGTCTCACTGCCCCTCCAGACGGCCTGAGAGTGAGGTGCGTCGTGCTGGAGGAGAGGTCTTTGCATAGATTAAGATCGAGCTGATTCCTCCTTTCACAGTCACGGGGAGTCTACATTGTGGGTGGACACTGGAGGGAAAGTTGCTCCACGACCTGAGTTTGCAGTCTGTGCCCTCATACTCCGGGTGTTGGAACCCCAATCTTCTTCAGGTGCTTTCTCTCTGAAGGTAATGTTGCTCTGAGGTTGCTGCTTCACGGAGACGTCTGTCCCCTCTGTGCATTCTCCCCTGCCAAGAGGACACTAGGCCAGTTCCCTTGGGTCGTCTCATTGAATGCCTGTTTTGTCACATTACTAAGGAGAACAGGAAACATTGATCCGTTTGCATCAAAATAGGCTTCTTGGCAGAATAAGTCCATTTGTCTTCCCTCCATGTTTATTTCCCTCTCTCCTCGGACTTCTTTGAGAAGAAATGAAGAGAATGAACTTCTTGTAGAACAGTTATTGTTCATGGGAACTCCCATTTGAATCTTTCCATAAAACATCTTAGTTTTGCTTTATTTTTAACTGCCTTGCTCATTCAGCCCCACCCCTTGTCCCAACCAAGGTTCCATTTAAATTAGCTGCTGTAAATTCCTAGTTTAAAATATTTTATTAGGGTTTATTTAACTTAATCCTATAACAGTTGGGAGTAAATTGTGACAGTGAAAACCCAGAAACAGTTAGCAAGATGCTGTAGTTCATGGGTTGAAGTTCTGAGAACCTAAGTTTTTTGTTGTGTTATGTTGAGTTATGTGCAAAACTGTGCTATAGAAGAGAGACGTCCAGGCCATGGCCAGGGACATGTGAAACTGACACCGTTTGCTGGAAAAGGCCATTCAAGGGCAAAAAGTAGAGGTGGCAGAGTACAGCTTAAGCATGTTATTACCCTTGCTGTAGTTAAGTCAGTGTGGGAATACATTGAAGCTCTTAAATTTATTTCAAATAAAAGCATAAGCGATGTGACTTGAACTCATGGACTTCTTTTTGGGATGTAGGGGAAGATGAATGTATATATTTATGAGAGGAAATTGTCTAGCAGATTTTAAGTTTGGAAGAATAGAATGTTCACAGAAACTAGGGGAGAAAAGCTTTTTAGTTTCTAAACAGCATTACTAATGATGTTAACATTAAAATATTTGTAGCTCTTAGAAAAGGGCATCACTAAAGGTACTTTCACTTGTTTGTGATAAAGTATTTGTTGGGAAAAATAGTTATAGTGGGTTACTTCTCATCTCCTTATGGAGGAGAAATTGGTATTTATCTTGAATAGCCATTTGATTTTATTTGTATAACAATTATTAACTTTGAGAACATGTATGCCCATGGTAAGTTACGAGGATAAAGTTTATGTAGGATATGGTCTAATGAATTTAAGCCCCAAGATGTAGCTAACTATGTTTATGAGTCCATAAAATCTAGTTTTGGTAGCATTGTGAATGCATTTTCCAGAAATCCATTTTTATTTTGAGTAAATCCAATGTTTAGGAAATGTTTGTGTTTTGGATATATGTATATGTTTTTTTTTTTAAGGCCTCATTTTCTCTGAAATGTAACATTGGTGAGCTACATGATGGGATTTCCAGAAAGCTCTGGACATGGGTACTATGTGCTTTACTTATTTGTATAAAGTCTGTAGTGCTGATTGTGTGTATCTATGTATCACGGTCTTTTTATTTAGTTTCTAGTGAGTTGGCTTGGTTTTAAAGAGTTTTAAGCATATGACAACAATAACAAGAAAATCTGTCTTTATGCTATTGAATGAAAGAGCAATGCTTTAATATTTTATTCACTGTGACAATGTTCTGTTTGTCTATTAAATTTGTCTAGAAGTTTGCCTTCATTTGTGGCTGAGATTCAGTTACTACTCTGGATCCCAGGTTAACTTTAGATAACTGTAAACATGAACTTCAAGAAACATTGATTAAGTTAATAATGCTTTTATCGCACACATAAAGATTTCAGAACCTTGTGAAAAGCTAACCTGACCTGTGGCATTTCCAGAAGGGCTTCATCTTTTTTTAACAGTGGGGGACAAACATTAGGGAAGGTGAAATAAAAATATTGTCTTTATAAATACATTTGTTTTCCACTTTAATTTATTTGATTTGATTTCCAGATTTTGCCTAGCTGCTCAACATAATAGAATCCCATTTATTTGGAGAATACCTTAGTTTATGTGGTCTGGGAAAATTTGTAAAAGTTACTTGGCATTTTGTTAGGAAAAGTAGAAACAACTTGAGAATATGTAGCTGTTCTATGCTTCTCATAATGAGTGAATTAACACTACATATTAATCAATACTGAATTTATTCACTTCTGAAATCTTTACCTAAGACACTTAGAAGAAGGTTCAAGACAGCAGGTGGCTGTGCCCTCATAACTTCTGTGTGAGCTGGACTTAACCACGGAGAGGCCAGAAAGTGATGAGCACTTGCTGGGTTGTAAGGAGGGAGATATGGGACTTCGGAGGCACCTAAAAGAGATTTTTCAGTATCTTACCTAGGGAGACCTGAAGCCTTGGGAACCGTGGTATTCACAGGCAAGCTAGGGGTATGCACTGGGCACAGGGAAGGGAACCCAGTGAGCCTGGAAGAGGGGAGTGGCGGTGCACCTGTTCTGCTCTGTGTGGGTCCACAGTTTTGAAGCCTTGCTCCTTTTACACACTCTTCTTGGTAAATAAATACCCCAATTCTTTTGAAGCACCATGGAAATACCACATATCATTCTAGAACTTTCCTTGAAACCAATGACAGAGTTGGTTACAGGTAGGATCCCTAAAAGAGTTTAACCATTTGCTCTTGCAGCTTGAGTTTCTGTACTTTCCACATCTTTCCCATTTGTTAGATGTATACTATTGCTTTTCAGTGCCCTGCGTGAACTTTCATTCCTGTAGGTGTACTCTTGGGTCTTTCCTCATAAGTTTTCTTTAGTGCAAAAGATTTGTTTAAAAATGTGGATAACTTAATGTTGAAATTTAAGTAAATTCCATGTGAGTCCCAGAAGTGACACTATTCAACCCATTTCCTTTTGTCATTTAAATCTATTGTGTCATCTGAACCTAATTATGTTCAGTATATATGTATTTATGGTTCTGATTTGAAGGTGCTTTAAGTTTAGGGAAAAAAACCAAATTAAATCATGTCCTGAATACTGTGTATACTAAGTTAGGGTCTGTGCTAATGTATTTTTAAAAGTGGTTGAAGCTTGATTTAATTAAAACATTCAATTAACTGAAACAATTACTCTACATGCATTTTAATTAATCAGGAGTTTATTAGATTTGCAAACTATTAACCTTTTAAATTGAGATGGTTGGAATTTCTTTAGAGAAAAAATGTGCTTGACAGCAGGTTGTGTTACATCTTGGCTTCCTCAGGAAGTGTAAAGAGTTTCTTTGTTCACATCTGTTTACCTGAGATAAGAGGTCCTTAGCTTTGGGAGTCATTGCTTTGTGATAAAGTGGGGGTGAGGAAGGAGAGAAATGTTGAGATGGAGAGAGAGGAGAGCCAAAGGCTAAAGTCCCAAGGAGCTGTGGAAGGGATGGAAGAGGAACAGGACAAGAGGTAGACACAGGAGCCAAGATAAAGGAGGTGGGACTAGGATTATTAGATAAGCATAAATGGAAACAGACTGGTGCATGACAGTGTTCTTAAACCTTACTTCTTGGAGATTTTCAAATACATGGAGTAGTCCAGAGAAGAGTGCAGTTATCGCCCATTGACTCATCACTTAGAGTCAGCAGTTAACCTTTTGCCATATTTGTTCCTTATCATAAGTAAATGTATGTTGTATAATTCTAAATTTAGCATTTCCACCCCAGTTCTTGCCAAATACAATCCCAATTTAGTAGTGCCAATCAAGAATTATCTCTTTGTGAATAGATATATTCTGGACTAAGCTCAGATAATTCTGAGAGCTGGCTTAATGTTAAATTCCTTCTCAGTAGTTTAAAATATGTTAAGCTTTTTATTGTTCCACATATCTAGTCAAGAAAACTCATCGAACAGAATTTTAAATGAATTTTAATTATTTTAGCAACACTTTAGCTATGAAGTGTTATTTTTAATGCTAGATAACATCATTAGTCAATAAATGAACATCTGGTTTTGATGTGTGGAGCCAAAACCTCCCACACTCCCCCCACATTCTCTGATTCCTGTAAAGCCATTTATGGAAGAACCTGTGCACCACTGCTACTGTCACCCACACCTCCTGCACCACACATGCACACATGCGTACAAACACTCATGCACACATGCTAATTATCCATTTAAATACTATTTAAAACTAAGTTTGTGACCACTAATGACTACCTTTATGACTTCCCATAGATGGGTGGCTTCAGCTGCTTGTCTCGGAGGTACTTATTTCCTCTTGTAAGATAGTCAGTGCTACTGAGCATTAGAGATTATCCTAAGTGGTGGACCGATTATTGACACAGCTTCTGTTTGAAGTGATTTTTCCTATATTTCAGCTAGAACTGTGTACTTCCATGGTTAAATTTATTGTCATTACACATTTTATTTTTGATCAGAGTGTTTATAACATGATTTCCAGCCTATAATTTCACCTACTCTAATCACCAGCAAAAAGGGAGCAAGTAACATAGCCTAATTGTTGTGGGCTTTTTCTGTAGCTGGAGAGGAGGACAGAGTGAAGAAGTGGTCCTGGGAGACCAGAGAATACTACATTCTGTTCTTGGAGCTGGGGAAGAAAATTACACTGCTAATTACTTAACCCCATTCCCTACTTAGGGCTTTATGTCCCAAATGGGAACCTTGCCAGATTTTTTGATACAAAACATACAGACTCATTATTTTCACTCAAGTTATTGGCTACCTGTTGTGCATAAGATACAAATATTCCTTGACTGTTTATCATGATGATCATGAATGTCACACCTCCTTGGAAAAATATGAAGAAAATTAGGGTCTTTAAAAGGAAGATCTCATTGAAGAATTGTTCCCACATATATGATGTAGAACACATCCAAGAAGGGAAGACTTCCTGGTTATGTGTCCAAGAAGCTGAGGAACCCTTATTGTCCTCTGAAGAGATTTGTGTTGGGCATTAGCAAGGGGCAGTGGCCAAGTCAGTCAGTCAGAAAACGTGTTTAGAGTTTTAGTTTAAACCATGGAATTCTTTCTCAAGACATCTATTAATATTTGGTGGAATTAGTGTTTTGTGGAGCACATTTTGTGAAAACTGCTTTAGACAATTGATTATACTGTCACAGTATAGAACCTGACTACAGATGCAAGTCACCAAACCAGTGCATAAATTAAGAGACAGCCAAGAAAAAATTCAGAAGAAAGTACTGGGCCGTGGGGAATGGCAAGAAGCAAAGGGGAAAGGAGCAGGCTGCCAGGAGCATGGAATGTAAATCACCAGTCATTTCACTTGTTTTCCACTGGAATGGTTTGCATTCTTGTCACAGTTTTATAGCTTTGTCCCTAACACGTACATTTGTATCAGACCCCTACAAGTCATCACATATAGAGAAATAAATATCTAAATATATGCCAAAGGAAATCTCAAGTGGAATAATTAAGTACTTGTTATTTACTTATTGAATCATTTATTGTGCCTGTGAAGCTCCCACAGTTAATTCTCAAAGAGTGGAACACCCAGTGTTCCTAATGTTAGGAAAACATGTACCAGATTTAAAGTTTTAATCATCAAATGTTAGGGCTAGAAAGATTTTTTATAGACCAGTCTGTCATTTTCCAGATGATAAAGCCCATGCTCAGGAATGATTGAAATAGTCACATGACAAAGACTCTAAATAGGTTCCCATGAAGATCATTGAGGTCCAGGTCTACTTCTGAGTCTGCACTGCACCTCTTAGACAGCTTATTTTTTAAAATAACATTGATTATAAAAAAATAACATTGATTATCAAATTATGGAGAACAAAATATGCAGCTGGATAGGTAATATTTTATCTCTCCCAGCTCTGTTGAGCTATAAATATATGTAAGGAAGACATGAAATGATCATTTGAATTACTTGTTCTGTTGGAAGTAAGGTCAAAGCATTTGGGTCCTGAATGCTTACCCATAGAGCAGACATGAAGAGCTTTAGCGCGCACACACACACACACACACACACACACACACACACAGACAGCTGCAATTCGTTAGGAAAAGGAAGAGAAGTGAAAAATGAGTCTACGTATGACAAATGACTAGGATCTGGAGACAGTGCACATGTGTCTTTCTTTATCATTGCCACTCCAACTTAGCGCTTAACCTGTATAGTAGTGATTATTTTTGAGGCAACTTCCTAGGGCCCTGTCTTCCTCTGACATCACCAGCATCTGAAATTGTCACATCTAGGAAGAGCCTGTTCCAAGGCCCTGTGCCTGAAATGCCCAGGCTCCTACTCCTATGGTGGAGCCCCTCTCTTTCCACTCCCTATGTTCCCATCACTCTTTTGTCTTGGTTACTTTTCTCATTGCTGAGACAAATACCCAACACCTAAAGTTAAAGGAGGAAAGTTTTATTTTTTTAGCTCATAGTTTGTAGTTGGCTGACTTTAAGGCAGGTTGGCATGGCAGAGGGGCACTGCAGAGAAAAAACAGTTCATGGCAGGCAGTAAAGTAGCAAGCAGCAAGCAACTACCTTCTTTCTGTCTTATATTCCACCCAGACAGGTAGCACTCATACCCAGGTGGAGCACCCTTACTCCTACCCAGAACTATGCCAAACCAATCAGTGGACCAGTTTAGTAATTACACACCCTTGTTCTCAGCATCACATAGCTACAGCCATCTCTGAAAAGCCCCACCTATGACTGAATGAGGCTTTGGGAGACATTTAGACAAAAGCCATAAAATCATTCATACCCTTGACTTCCTCACCTTTAGGCTCTCATTATTACAAGTATACTGTTTTCTCAAAGTTACTTTCTTTTAAAGTAACTTCCATTTTATCAAAATTATATATCCTCACAGTAATGAATTAAATAGTACTAAGGATCGTTAATTAAAAATAGATGCCATTATGTCAGGCATAGTGATGCATGCCTGTAATCTCAGCACTTGGGAGGCTGAGGCAGGAGGATTTCTGAGTTCAAGACCAACCTAGGCTACATAGTATGTTCAAGGCTAGCTTGAAATACAGAGTGAGACCCTGTCTCAGAAATCCACAACAAAAAACAAGATGCCTTTAACCCATCCCTCTGTCCTAAGAGCAACTTTGTACTCTTAAACTTCCCTCCCTTCTTCCATATTTCTGATAATTGTATTTATATGACAATTTCTTAATTTTTCTCGTACCTTTGGTCATTGTCTATTGATACTCTATTGTGTAAAAGACAAGAACTTAATGTTTGTATTGCCTCACACACACATATACACACTTTTACCCCTTAAATATTCACAATATACCACAATTTTTGGGTAAAATCAACTTTTGGTGCTTAGATTCTCATGACTATATCATTTTGCTCATAGCTGAGATTACAGTGATTCCAAACACATTCTGTTTATTATATTGTACAACATTTTGTTTTCCCTGGAGTTGTCTCATTTTAAAATTTACTTCGATTTCTTTGTTCCTAAAACTGAAGTGAGTCTCGGACAATAGAGGTCTTTCCTTCCAGGCAGAGGTGTTGGATACTCTGCCAGTCCCTCCTTGTGGACCCAGCCCTCCTGGGCCCTTCACTCTCCAATCCAGATTAGTTCCCTTCTGCGCAGCTGCCATCTGGGGATTTTCTGTTATCCTGGGAATTCTCAGATCCACTTTTCTTGAGTGCCTTGCCATCTTTTTCTGGGTTTATTCATTTTAAGTAAAGATTGTTCTCTGGCAGCTTGTTGGGGAAAGAAAGATGCATGGACATAAAAATATTAAGACCTCCCATGTCTGAAACTATCCTTCTTCTAGCCCAAAGCCTGATACATGATTTGGTTAGAAAATCAGTCACCCCTTTTGCCTTTCGACCCCCATTTTGCTGTGGAGAAGTCCTGTAGCATTCTAATTTCAGATTGCCCACGCATGTATTTTTGTTTTTC